AAAGAGTGCAATGCGAAGGATGGACATATTTGAAACTCGGACTTAGGGGGGAGGGGGGACAAGGGCAACATACGTAACCTAAACATCTGTACCCCTATAGTATGCTGAAATAATAAAAAAAAAAAAGAATAAAGAAAAAAAGTTAAATTTAGTTCTGTATATAATTGAACTCCAAACTCAGATTTTCCCAATACTTAAATATATGAAGTAAATTTATGCCCATTCGGACTGTTTCTTTTAGCTATGTTGAAAAAAAGTATTGTGTTAAAAAATGACTACCTTATACAGAGGGGTAATACTTTAATAATAAATATATTACCTTAAAAAAAAAACTTAATATACATTTCCTGCTGAGAGAGGAAAGTAGATCCACTTCCAGCAACTATTTTGAAAGAAAACCCCAAAGCAGATCTTATCTTCATTGATCGGTCACCCCAGTCTTGGATCTGGCCTCATGAATCTTTGTTTTGGGGTGACTTAGTCGCAGCCAGGCTTTAAACCTCTGGTCTAGTGTTAGTTTTCTGATGGAAACTAAAACCAGTTCTCTTTGTTTTGTGCTGATTTGTAAAGTCTACTTAATTCTACTTTTGTTGTGCTCTATTGTGTTCAATAAAAAAATGTCTATGAGCCAGAATTCGGAAGAGGTTGTTTACACCGCATTTTATGAAAATCACACCCGAGGATTAGAAACAGAAGGGAAACTGGTGATATCTGCATTGGTAACACATACGAAATGCATTCAACCATCCAGGGTGATGTGTTTTAATCCTAATTTACATTCTTACCTTTTGTACCATTTTGTAAATTAGCTCCTGTTCACATTTCCTATCCCAAAACACAAAGGTAGGGACCCCTAGGTCTCATAGAACATTCTAAAATCAGTTTGGTAAACTTTTCAATATATTACTTTCCTCTTAAGCTCCCACTTTATAAACACCAGGCAAACGTTTGTCCCTTAGCTAGGCAACAAAGTATTCTAAGAGGTCATTACGTGCTTCAGGCAAGAATGGAATTTGGGCTGAGAGGGCAGAGGCTGGAATCTTATCACCGACCAAACAGGCCACAGTGGGACCAAGAAAAGGAGGGAGGAAGGTGGCCAATCATTTTGGATCTTCTCTGGGCAACTTTTAATCTTGCCATTTCTTTTGTAAAAATGAAGTTAGAAGTACCTTTACATCCACACTCCATTTTATTCCTCCCAACCCGAGTCAAGGGGCAGCCTCTCCCGAGCAATCTCCAAGGGTGATGAGCTACCTCAACCTTGAGGCACAGCCAGCCTGATGGGCACACGTGCAAAGGGGGAGGAAGAGGAGGAGGAGACCGGCCAAGTAGGTCAGTGGGTTAGAGGGCAGCATCAGCGTGTCAGGTTGTGGGTAGCTCCTGGCAACCACAGACTGCTGTCTTGATCCCGGCGCCTTCTCCTGAATGCCAGGCTGACTGCAGGAATTAGAAAGGGGCATGTGGACGGCTCAGCACCACCTGTCACCGTCCTGGAAACTCAGGACGTAGACACACCAAGAGCAGGTGTCTGACACCCCTTTCCTAGGCATTATTTTCCAGAGGACAAAAGCCGGGTCTACTTTTAACTGAAGGAAAGGGCTGCCTGGGTGTAACTGTTTACATTGGATCCTAGCAGTTTGGATTTACAGAAAAGCAAGCTCTAGTTCTGTCCTGAGGGGATTCCTGAGGCTAGAAACACTCAGGGCCTCACTGAAACTGGGTGGAAACAGACACTGGGGTAAATGCCAACCAGCAAAGAACAGCAGGCAGTTTAAGAACCCTCTGCACCCGTTTCAAACGGAAGTTGGTCAATTATACCTCCCCTAACTGGCCTTCAGCGTCACACAGCAGGACAGGCACGAACTCTGTCACTGGACTCCGTGTTGGAAGGACACTTGTGTTCTGAGGTTGCCGCATATACTTTTTGATTCAGAACTGGTGCGTGACTGGCAGGTCTGGGAGCCTGACCCGGGCAGCTCACCCAAAAAAATGATAAGCGGCTGGAGCAACACAGGGAGGGAGAAGTTAATTCACGATAATAAGCCCTTGCGTGTTTATTCTAAATTGTGCTTTACAGAGTGCTTTCTCATACCTCCAGCTCTTGAGAAGAGAGGATAGCCTTAAACGTGTTTTAAAACTGGAATATGCCCAGAATCTAAGTGGTTTTTAAAAAGCCAGTTCTTTAGGAGATGTAGAGCAGACTCTATTCATGCAGTGAGTCATTAGAAATAAAAGTTGTGATCCAGTGCCTTGCAGTTTCTTTATTAGCGTTTGCTAGCCAGGACTTAACCTTTAATGCCCCCAAATGTCACGTGCAGTGTTTCCCACCGATCAAAGTGGATTTAACATCTCCGTTAATACCACAGCCAGCACTGCCTACAGGATTCCCAAACACTTACGAAAAATAATAAATCTAGATGCACGTGTAATATTTTCAGGATGCTAAATACATGGCTATTGGGAAACATCTAGACAGTTGCAGTATGCTGGCTCAGCCAGGAGATTAGCCAAAGAAGTGTCACTTGGATTACTGCCTTTGAGAAAGCACTGGGTGGTTACAGCTGAAGTTCAAACTACTATCAACCAAAATCAATGAAGGTAAGATTAAATAAACATATCCACTGTGTTTGGTAAGTCAGCGAGTCCACTTTCCTCCAGCTAACATCAGCATCTGTTATTGGGGCTGGGTGTGGTGGCTGACACCTGTAATCCTGGCACTTTGGGAGGCAGAGGTGGGAGGACAGCTTGAGGCCAGGAGTCAAGACCAGCCTGGGCAACAAAGTGAGACCCCATCTCTATAAAAAGTGAAAAAACTTAGCTAGGCATGATGGCATGCACCTGTAGTCCCACCTACTTGGGAGGCTGAGGCAGGAGCATTGCCTGAGCCCAGGAGTTAGAGGTTACAGTAAGCTATGATCATGCTGTTGCATTTCAGCCTGGGCAACAGCATGAGGCTCTGTCTCTAAAAGAAAAAAAAAAATCTGCTACTGGGCTATGCTGACATTCCTTAGCTTTTCCTCAGTATTATCTGGTTCCGTGAAATCTCCTTTGCCTAATGTTAGTAAGCCAGTGTCCATGTTAGCGAATAAGGGTCTCTGACTCATGTAGCTTACACTTAGCCCAAGGAATACTATATTAAAGATCAGATTTTTACACCAATGGACTTTTTACCAAATAGCAAAAGCAACACAAAGAAGAATATTTTTTATAAAACACATCTCTTTGGCCCTACCCAACTGCAAATCAAGAAGCATGCTGGAGGCTAGCAGTACCTTTGTGACAGACAGTTCCTTGGATTTAGACTCAAACAGGTGCTCCAGTCTGGAAGTGTCCACCTTAATGGGTTCCAGTTTTGACCACAGGAATTCTCTGCAGCGTCGGTTGTTTTTACACGGCCACTCAAAAGGCCGGACTTCATTCCAGAACAGACGGATGGTCTTCTTTTTCTTAGTGAACGTGGGCTGACCCCTGGGTACCTGGGACCACCCTAAGCCCTGAGGAGCGTTGAACACTGGAGGAGGAGGAGCCAATAAATTACCGGGGATGGGAGGGGGAGGCACGCTGTCCAACAGGGGTGGAGGCGGAGGGGGCGGCAGACCCAGGAAGGTGGGCGGGGGTGGGGGAGGTGGCCCGGGGGCCTCCCTGTGACCCAAGTCCACATCCAGGACATCGATGTCGTCCTCCTCTCCCAGGTCGGTGAAATCCATGTCTTGGATTCTGAGTTCCCTCGGGTTGGCCATGAGCTGGTCCCAGATGTAATCAGCCTCTGTCTTCAGCTGTACCGGTGCTGTCTCCGAGACCTTGTCATTGGGCTCAGCATCAGGGGAAACAGACCCTCTCCCCAGGTCCCCACTGTTGAATTTCTCCGCAAATGCTTTCACGCTGCCCCGATTGTCCAAACAGCCGATGTCCACCCTTCTGACGCTCTCATCCTGAGCCTGTGAGTTGGCCTGCAGGGTGGAGACCCTGGTGGCGAGGCTGGTGACCGCCTCTGCCTCCTGCTGGGTCCTTGTAGCCTCACCGTCCCCCGGGGACTTCCTGTTATGGGCATACAGCATGTCCAGCATGAACCGTTTGCTGGTGAGGATGTCGCCACACTGCCCATTCACACCCGCATCCTGAACTCCCGCGGACCACAAACCTGAAAGCACACAGGAGGGGAAAAAATGAAAAATTAGCAAGGGGGCCGCGCTTCCACGACAAAACTAACTAGGTAGGACATGAGCTTGACACTCCCTACACACAGATGACTTCTGAGGACACAATGAAATAAAGCATTCAAAGCAGAAGGTGGCCCTGGTTGACAAGACACCCTTAACCAAGAAGAGACACTGCTTTACAATCCTGAAGACCCCACACCAGGACCCAGGACTCTGCCAGATATGACACTGCTCCTGGCTCCTGCCTGGACTCCTGGAAGAAACTTTCCTTACCTTTCCTGCCCACCCATGGCAGCCGGTCAGGACTCACCCAGCCACAGGGAGCTGAGGGGCCTCTGTCCTAACTAGACACAGGGAAGCAAGGAAGCCACTCCCTGGCCCGTGGCAGGCATCGGAGAGGCGGTAAGGTTACCTCTGTTCCTCTCCCCCATCCGGAATCTGCACCAGTACAGCTCAAAGTGCCTGGGGAAACACACAAACCATGCCTGTGGTTGTGCTTTAAGTTCACAATTACCAGTCTCCAGGGGGCTTAGTGCCACTGGGCACTCTCAGCCACTCCTCCCAGACAACCTTTCATACCCCGCCTCCCAGCCCACCTCATCCTCAGTAACAGCCTTGCTTCCTGGTTCACCAATTTAACAGGCACAGACAGGGGAGATCTTCCAGAGCCCCCATTCTCCCTCCCTCCCCCTCTCACCTGCACCCCAGCCCGTGGCCCCCGTCCGGTGACCCTCCATAGCAGGGGTCAACCGCTCCACCTGTGCATTAGGAACGCGCTCCAATGGTTCTCTGTCCCGCATCTCCCATGACCCTCCCACTAGATCCTTCCTTCTGGCATATAAACATACGTGTAATTACCACATGATGGTTTTTAAAATAACCATCTTAAAACAGCAAAACCTCCCTTGGCCCCACTTAACAGCTCCAGCTATCACCCGATTTTTCTCCCTTCCTTTAAAGTAAAGCTGCTCACACGAGTTGTTTTGCTCACCACCTCCGATTTATTTTATTCTCTCTTGGACCCAGCTGAATGGAGCTTTTGCTCCCACCACCCCTCAACCTGCTCCTTTCCAGGTGACCAGGGACTTGCACATTGAGCTGGACACACCCTCCCCAGAAGACATGTGCCTGGTTTGCTTCCTTCTTTCTGAGAAGGTGTCTCCTTCTCAGTCTCCCTTGCTGGTTCCTCCCTATCTTTAACCCTTCACTGTCCTTGGAGCTCGCCCCTCCATCTACACTCTTCCAGACTTTGTCTCGTCCAGTCTCAGGGCTTTACATACCATCCGTAAATGGTTCTTCTGCCCCACCCCTCGTGAAGCTGCGTCTCCTGCAGTCCTCTGCTGTCTCTTAAGGCAGTTTCATCCTCTTGCTGCCAATTACAGAAACTTCACAGTCATCCTTGACTCCTCCTGTTCCTTCGTCCTCTGCATCCAGTGTAGCAGGGCATCCTGCTGGCTGCACCTTGGTGTTACACCCAGAATCCACCCGCTTTTCTCAGCACGTCTGCTGTCACGGCCCTGGACCAAGCCGGTGTGTGTTCCTGCCTACAGTGCTGCAGGGGCACCTCAGGTGGGCCCTCTGCTTCCACCCTTGCCTTGTGACAGTCAGCGCTTATCCCAACAGCCACGTGATGTTACTAAAACGTCTGATCAAATCTTTCTGCCCAAAGCCTTCTAATGAGAGGAAAACCCAGTGACATGATGTTGACAGGCCTTTTCTTTCATCTCCTGCCACCACCATCCCAGATACATACACATAAACCTCTTCAGCTATAGCAGCTTCTTCCTGTTCCTAGAACTCACCAGGTATCATCTGGTTTCGGGGACTTTGCTCCTCCTGGGACAAACCGCACCCAGTTAATCACACCATTTGTTTTTTGATCTTCCTTTAGGTCTTTGCTCAAATCGTCTCTTCTCAGTGAAATCGTACCCCACCACCTTAATTAAAATTGTGCAACCCTCCCTCCCACGCTGCACATCCTCCTTTCCTGCTTGTTTTCCATCAGAGCACTGATTACTCTCTCATCATCCACGCGTTCTACTTATGTTATTGTCCGCCTTTGCCCTATCACTGGGATGTTTATAACTACTCACTAAATTGCCTTCTTCGTGGGATGTAAACTCTATGAGAAAAGGATTTGGGTTAGCTCTGCTCACTGTTGGACCCCCAACGTCTAGAACCGAATGAATGAACGCACGGTCAGGAGTGTTATTCCTCTGGGGCGGCTTCCTTGGGGATGGCAAGGCCATGTGGCAAGCACTTGAGGGAGTGAGCTCCTGCAGATACCCAGGGAGACCCAGGCCACCAAGGTGAGCATGCGGAGCTCCACTCAGCCAAAGGAGAGTCCCCAATACACTAAGGGTGGACACTGGCTGTCACACATGGCCCTGCCTTGACCTCAGAGGAGGCATTTACTTGGGGAGCACAAGGTCCCCCTGGGGCTCTGTTCCTTCCAACAGAGCTTTGTTCTCTGTCCTCTGCTTAACAGTGGCCTAACCCGACCAGGGGACCTCAGGCCCCCTCAACACCAGAACAAGGAGCTCTTGTACCCCCTTTTAGGTTTTACAAACAAAACATACTTAGGAAATAACCACTGTCAAAGAGAGATGAGATGGCACTTGAGGATAAGACCAAAAAATCTGGTTATGGGGAGTTTCCACAACTGGTCAGACCACCCCACGAACTGTGAGATGAGTTTGACACCAGGAGGCCACAGCAGATAAACTGGTTGAGCCCTTCTCGAGGAACGGCCATATTCTTTCTCCATTTATTGAGAAATGTTAGCATTTTCTTATTTTGGCAACAGGGAACAGAATGTAATCAGGTAATATCTTTAAATGCTGGGTTTCTCACTTATCCTCTTATGTATTCTTTTTATCATGTTGTAGTGCCCCTCTTTGTCCTTAGTAATTTCCTTTCCTCTGAAGTCTACTGTATCTGATATTAATATAGCCACTCCTGCTTTTCTCGGATTAATGATTGCGTCATTTATCTTTTCCCAACTTCTAACTTGCAATCTACCCATGTCATTATGTTTGAAAAGAGTTTTGTACAGACAGCAAATAATTGGGTCATTTTTTTTTTTGGTCCACTCTGCCAATCTCTGTCTTGTAATTTAAAGTAATTATTGATACGTTAGGATGTAAGTCTGCCATTATAATTGTCTTGTTTGTTCCCTTTGTTTCAGTTCCTATTTCTCCTTTCTTGGTCTCCTATGGGTTACTTGAACTTTTTTTTTTTTTAACTTTCATTTATTAAAAATTTTTTTATTGACATAACAGATGCACATATTTTCAGGGTACATATAATTTAATACATTCATATTATTTGTAAAGATCAAATCAGTGTAATTGGGACATATATCACCTTAAATAGTCTTTTCTTTATGCCATAATCATTCAACTTATTCTCTTGTACCTATTTTGAAATATATTAATAGATTATTATAAACCATAGTCATCCTATGGATCTATAAAACACTAGATTTCTTCTATCAAACTGTATATTTGTAACCATTAACCTCCCTGCATCCCCCTTGAACATTTTTTAGAATTTAATTTTGATATATTTATAGTGTTTTAAAGTACATTGCTTCATATAGCTTTCTTAGTAGTGGCTCTAGGTATTAAACATACTAACTTATCACACTCTAATAGTATTGATGCTTTAACACTTTGAGTCAAGTGTGGAAAACTTATTTCCATATAGATTCCTTTAACTTCCCCACTTTTTAAATAGAATTGTCTTAAGTATTTCTTCTACCCAGAGCAGTACATCAAATGGTATTACAATTTTTGCTTCCACCATCAAGTATGATGTAAGAAACTCAGTAGGAGAAAGTCTATTTTATTGACTCCTATTTTCATCCATTCTGTTGTTCTTTCCTTCCTGATGTTCCAAGCCTTCCGTCCTTTCCTTTCTGTTTGGAGAACTTTCTTTAGCCATTCTTTGACGGTACGTCCACTAGGGACACATTCTCTTAGTTTTTTTTAATCTGAAATGTCTTGCTTTCCCTTCATTCTTAAAGGAGACTTATGTTGGATACGGAATTCATGCCCTTGCAGAAGGCCGCATCCCTTCCTGCTGACCCCCATGCTACCATGAGCAAGCTGCTGTCATCTGAACTGGTGTTCCCCTGTCGGTGACATGTTGTCTCTTTCTTCACTCTTTCAAAGCTTCTTTTTGGTCTTTAGCTTTCAGAAGTTTGATTATTATTTGTCTTGGTGTGGATGTCTTTGAATTTATCCTGTTTGGGGTTTGCTCAGCTTCCTAACTCTGTAAGTTTATACTTTTTTGACACACTTGGCAAGCTTTTGGCCATTATTTCTGCAAAGATTTTTTTCATCACTGAACTTACCCTTTCTCCTCTCCTCCTCGGACCCCAATAAACTGGATGTTAGATCTAGTCTTCTAGTCCCCCCAGACCCCTGAGTTTCTGCTCATTATTTTAGTCTATTTTTCTCTGTTACTCAGATTTGGTAATTTCTACTGACCCGTTTTTGAGTTCACTGAACATTTCCGTTGTTGTCTTCAATCTACTATTAAACCCATGCAGTATTTTATTTTGGTTATTATATTTTTCAATTCTATAATTTCCCTTTCCCTTTGGTTCTTTTTATATCTTCTACTTTTCACTGAGATATTTTATTTCCCCATGTATTTCCTGAGTGTTCGTAATTAACTGCTCATTGAAGCATTATTACGATGGCTGCTTCAAAATACCTGTCACCTAATTCCAATGTCTGGCTCATCTTGGTGTTGGCATCTGTTAATTATATTTTTCCATTCAAGTTGTGACTGCCCTAGTCCTTGATATGATGAGTGATTTTCTATTGTATCCCGGACATTTTGGGCATTATAGAATTTAGATCCTATTTTATCTTCTCTTTTAGCAGGTAGTCAACCTTTTTAGGTGTAGCATACAGGTCTTTGTGGGGCTAGATGTTCGGCTCCATCTGTCACCACCTCAGCAATAATGTGGAGTCCCACTGCCTCATTGCAGGTGAGTAGTGTGGAAGGTCAGTGCCACCATTTGCTGGCCCCACTGACTTCTTCCCAGGGAAACTGGACTACCTACCCACATTGCCTCATTGCCTTCAAGTGAAGGTGGAGGCTCAGCTCTCGATCGGTCCCCACAGACTCCAGGTCAGATTTTCCAATATTAAGGGCCAGAAAGCTTTTCTGTTCCATTAGGCAATCCTTTTCCCAATCCTTGGCTAGGGGAATAGGCTTTACGCGGAGCTTCACTGCCATGTTGTTCACGTCCTGGGGTTACTAGACAGTCTGTTTTCCTCTTTCTATGTTTCTGAGTCCTCCTGTGATTGACTGTTCTGTTATTCCAAGGGGGTGGGTATATTGGTTGTGAGAGAAAGGACCCAGGAGGAATGGAGCTTCTCCATCTCGGCAACACACCTCTTCCCTCCTTAATTCGGCTATGGTTTTGTGAGACCCCCCTAATGTATGCTCTGGGCACCCACCTAGGAAATGAGGACTCACAATGAATAAGGGAGACATCCCCTTCCACACAAAGCTGACATTCGAGTGGTGGCAAAGGACACTTACACAAGTAATCGTGACAACGTGTAACGAATACTACGATAAAGCTTCTCACACTAATGCCACAGAGTAACATATGAAACAAAAAAAAAAAATTAAACCACATAACTGGAATATGTTGAGATTTTTCAAATCCTACAAATTCATTTTTGACATAATCATTACAAATAAAATTGGGAATCATCTCAATTGTCCCCAAGGTTCCTTTGTGATTTAATTGACAACATTCTGAAAAGAGCCATTATGACAGAGCTGCCCTGACTCCACAGCTGCCAATGGTGCCTGCGAGCAGTGAGATATTTTAGGAACCAACAAGCTACAGCAAATAAACACGACCAAATCTCTTAACAGCACTGGGGCAAAGCAGAAAAATAACTGTGAAGCCCCAATTCCTGATTCTATACACTTGGACGTTACCCACTTTTGGTAGAAAGTCAATGGTTCTTCACTGGGAACAGAGTCTCCATTTTTGGAAAGTTGTCCTTATTTGGAAGAATGTGATCCAAGAGAGTTCTGCTGCCTGGCTTATTTTTATTAACCGAACTCGTTGATATGTTTCAGGCCTGCTAAATCCAGTTATGATGAATGATTCCTAAAGTTATTCTTAATAAATAAAACATGACGTAAGGCCAAACTGACCAAGAAGACTTATCCTACACCCTGTATTGTGACCATAATTCTATTAAGGTGAGTGATACTAGAAGAATTTGGGAGACTGACTGTAATCTGACTTTGAAAGACATTAAGTAAAATCAGTATATTCATTGTGTTATAACACCCATTAACACCTAAATCTTCAACCAAATGAAGACACAAGATTTTCAGTACAATCATTCCTAAGAGGTAAACTAATAAAGTCTTTAGTCCTCCTTTTTCTACTGCATCATAGTGACCAGCAATATAGAGAATAAAACCTAGTAGTATATTCTAACTTGGAAAAACTCAAATAGTAACTAGGCCACTGATGGACAGGTCTACTGGGAGACATTGTGGTTTCATTCATTCACTCAATTTTCATTCACTCACCCATGCCTCCAACTCAATGTATTCTTAATCTGGGAACTAACAAGTCATTCATGGGTCAGGGCACTAGCTGGCAGACCTTCGTGGAGATTTCATGCTGCCCTTTGGGCATGAGATGTAGGCTTTTTTTTTTTTTTTTTTTTTTGAGACAGAGTCTCACTGTGTTGCCTGGGCTAGAGTGCCGTGGCATCATCTTAGCTCACAGCAACCTCAAACTCCTGGGCTCAAGCGATCCTCCTGCCTCAGCCTCCCAAGCAGCTGGGACTACAGGCATGCGCCACCATGCCCAGCTAGTTTTTTCTATATATTTTTAGTTGTCTGATTAATTTCTTTCTATTTTTAGTAAAGACGGGGTCTCGCTCTTGCTCAGGCTGGTTTCGAACTCCTGAGCTCAAACAATCCGCCCGCCTTGGCCTCCCAGAGAGCTAGGATTACAGGCGTGAGCCACCGCGCCCAGCCAGATGTAGGCTTCTTAAGTGTGTCACTCGTATGTAGCTTAATGAAGGGTGGCCCATAAGACATGACTCCAAGGGCGAGGAGTGTTCATTGAGGAAGGTGGAATTCTACCACCCTGATAGCGTACAAGTTGTGAGTAGGAGTGTGGGTAAGGAAGGCTAACCCTGTGGTGTCGTAGATCATTTATAATTCCTTATAACCCTCCGTGGCAACCTCCCCAAGTCCTTCATGAGGTTCTTCTAGGCCAAACCTATAATCTAACATTCCATTTGATCCCTAGTTATAAAGTCTCCACCCACAGGAGAACTGAATGAATATTAAGTATAATTTGCCAAAAAGATATACTTTCATGAGGAAAAGCATGTACTTTGTAATAAATAAAAGAATAGTCATGAGTATAGTGTAGAATACTACTTAAATTATGTATGTTCCAATACAGCATATCAGGTTGACCTCAGCACACTGTGAGTCACAACTTTTCGGAAGTACTCATTCAATTCACTCCTACAAATCTGTTCTGGTCTGAAATGTTCAGTCATAATGATTGAACACACTTCACTTAAAAAAATCTTTTAAAGGGGTAGATAATATGACATAGCTCTAAACTTAAATCAGAAACTGAGAAAAGCTGCACTTACTATTATTAACAATGAAACAAGTAGAGGGAGATGAGTTTGTCTTTCAGGGCTTATTTTTCAGAAAGAGCCCTCATTACCTGGCCCTTCCTCCCACCTGTGGAAGTGATGAACGCCACCGCACAGCAGAGGGTTTGGGGGCCACTTCCTTTGCGGCAGGAGGCTGCTGGCTGACAGTGTGACCGCATTCCTCCTCCCAGACACTGGGTGACACAGCGGACGAGTGAGCTGACCCAGCAGGTCGCCTGAGAGGCCACCCTGTGGACAGGCTCCTAGCAAATCAGACCCTGCAGCCCAGGCTTCCCTGGAACATGCAGATTGAGAGAAGGGGCTTCATTTACCAGTCGCCCTGTCCCCGGAGAGCTTGTCCTCCTTCTCCTCCCTCTCCAACGTGCTGCTGGAGGACGAGATGCTGGAGGCGGAGCAGTTGTCCCTCTCGTTCACCCCTTCGTTCTGCCTCTCTTTTTCACTGAGGGAGGCTCTTTCTTCGGGCTCCAACGCCTGCTCCGCCTCGCTCTCCACTCCCCCGTGGGCAGCAGCTATGTCCTGGCTGGCTTCATCAGCAACCTGCCCCGCCTCTGCCTCCGGTCCTGGTTCTGCCTCCGGTTCAGGCTTAGGATGCCCGGCACTGGCTGGTGGAGACAACAATGGAGAACATGTTGACAACAGAGACTTCTCAGAAGCATTAAGTGAGGTGTGAAAGTGAATGTGAGGCTGATTTCTCTATGCTGCTCTGCGGTGGGCAGAAGTCTAGAGATGGCCCCCAAGACTTCTGTCCCCTAGTTATTCTGCCAATCACTGATGGAGGCACTGCTGTGAAGGGATTATGCAGATGACATGAAAATCCCTTGTCAGTTCATCTTAAAATAGGGAGAATAACTACATGGGCCTGATCCAACCAAGCTAGCCTTTTAAAAGCAGAGTGTTTTCAAATTAGCACCAAAAAAAGTTGAGATTAGTTAGAAGCATGAGAAGGATCCGACACATTAGTGCTGGTTTTGAAGATGGAGGGGGCCGTGAGACAGGGAATGTGGGTGGCCTCTAGCAGCTGAGAACCACCTCTAGCCAACAGCCAGTGAAGAACAGGGACTGCGGTTCCACAAGCACAAGGAACTGGATTCTGCCAACACGCTGAATGAGGCTGGAGATGGACTCTTCCCAGAATCTCAGCTAAGAAGAGCCCAGCCAGCCACAGCCTTGATCTCAGCCTTGTGACAGCTGACAGCTAGGGCCGAGAACACAGTTGAGCTGTGCTAAACTTCTGGCCTACAGAAACTGTAAGATAATAAATGGGGGTTGTTTCCAACAGCTATGTCTGTGGCAATTTGTTACACAGCAATAAAAAACTAATATATGGCCTTTTTTGTCTCTAGAGGAAAAAAGAAACAAAATACATGGTGAATCAAGCTGATGAGCACGTAGTACCCCTGTGTTTTCTGAAATCACTGACTAAACCAATGAGGTCCATTCACCCTGTGCTTGGACTATGTTTGCTCATAATGTGAAGTCAGTTCAGATTTTGAAAGCATTTAGAAGAATCACTCATGTAACAGGACTATTTGCAAAGCTATCAAGATTGGGGATTTGATGCTCATACTGAGGTAAAATACTCATGTTCGCACTCGTGATTGTCCAGAGAGCAGGGAAATGGCACAATCTGGCTTACACATGTTAATTGCTGAGCAAAACTCTCAGCTGCGAGCTGTGGATGCATAGCATAATGACTGAGAATACACAGAATCTTCAGCCAGCTGCCACATGGGAAGGCCTGAGGAGGATGGGGCACTCCTGAGGGTACTATCCCAGGGCTGGGCAAAGCCACACTGCCAGAACACATGCTTGAGCCCTAGGTAGACACTGCTCAAAGCAATACAGAAATCCAGGCAGGGTTTGCACATGGCAGAGGCTGGACGGTTTCTGTCCAGACCCCACAAAGACGTGCAGACCAGGGAGCGCTCTCTGTGGAGATGTCCTGCTGGCTCAGGTAAGGGGCATGGCTGGTGATGGAGCATGCAGAGCTGGCCCCATAGCAGGCTGGGCACTGACATTACTAAGGGGGAGAGAGACACTCAGGCCTCCCTGGACAGGGGGCCCAGCGGCCCTCAGCTTCCCAGCAAGAAGTCATTCTGCCAGGACTCACGGGCCAGCACCCCCAGCCTCTCCTCTGTTCTCCGACTCTAAGGATGAGTCAGGGAGTTAGCCAGGCAGGGAGGGAAGCCATGAGACGATAAAACACCACCCTTTCCTTATGTTCCCGGGTAACTTCCAAACACCACAGGGAAGAAAAGCTCCTCCGTGGGAAAACCTCCATGTGCTCTTCAGGTAGGAACTGGAGGTGGAGGAGTGAGGGCCTCTCCCTTGCTCACGTGCTATGGGTCTCCTGCTGGGGACTCTAGCCTAGTGCAGGAAGCTGCTTCCAGGGGAGACCGGAGGGCCTCTGCTGCCAAGTGGCCGCCCCTATAGGGAAGGTTTCAGGATCTGGCAACATGAGGGCAGAGTCTTCAGACTGAGACACATTGGCTGGCAGTAACAGGAGGAAGCCAAAGGGCACAAAACCTTGAGCCTATGTGCTTGAGAATGGGCACGCCGGTCACTTTTCCTTAAAAGCAAAAACTAGGCTGGGTAACGGGAAAGAATGAACGTGCCTTTCAGAAAAATTCCCTGTGGTACTGAAGGAATTTTTATGGTAATGTCTTTTTCATCTGATAATAGAGTATTTAGCAAAGAGATACAAAACCCCATTAGTTTTACAAGCATGGCAAGAGCACGGCCTTAGGAATGGCAGTGTCATCATCTGGTTGACAAAAAGCACATGTTGTTATACACATGTACTGCAGAATAGCCACATCAAAATGAAAATGTTTCCAACAGCCTAGCATGTGGCACAGACGGAAGGTTTAGCTGGTGAGCATATGGCAAACACCAACCAGGGTCCTTGCTGGTGGCTTCATCATGGACAAGGAGACAGGTCAGCTGGTTGCCAGGAGCCTGTGTCTACTCACCACCCCCAGGAGTCTGCGCAGACTCAGCAGGAGGATCCCTGACTGACGGTTGTTTGACTTCAGCCTGCGCGTGCGCACTGCTTGTTTCATTCCACTGAACGTACAGGTGTCTGACTAGTCAGGGGCCACCGACCTGGACAGGTGTGGCAATAGACATGCTAGCTCTGGAAAAGCCACGCTTTCTTGGGAATAAACAGTATGATTTCATCCCAATGCATTAGGGCCAAACTTCATGGGATCAGACAATTTAAATTTGTGATTCCAACTATTGGGATGGTTCCTTTGTCTCTTTCTTTTTTCTTTTTTTTTTTTTTTTTAACAACAGCTGGGGAGGTTTCGTTTCCAAAACTGCCTCTGGCCTGAATACATGACTCAGCGTCCACAGGGTCTGACTGCAAATCTGTGGCTTGTGAGGTCATCCTAATGATGAACAAATTAAATACTAATCACATACATTCGAGTCGATCCAAACAGCCAGGGTCCACAGCAGAGCCCTTCTCTGGCTGTCTTAATCAAACGCAGGAACAACAAGGGCGAAAGGTGCCCGAGGGCCAAGACCTTGCCTTCCTCTCCTGCCGAGAGCCCCCAGCATGGTCCTGGGGCATCTGCTCACAACATTCTCACTCGGAAAGCGCCCAGGATGGCCCAGAGACTCCATAGTCAATTCCAGAACGTTTCTCCTCCCCTTTCCCCTTCCCTTTCGTCAGGATCTCCCTCACCAACACCGTCCTCTACACGCCGCTGTTCTTTTTGAGTCACTGTCCCTAGGCCAGGCCTGCTGCCCTTTGGCAGAAATAAGGAAAAGTATCATTTACACTCACCGAGTCCTCAGGAAACAGGAGACATCATATAAATCTGTGGGAAAAGTCCTCAAGGGAACTAAGGTCTTTTTCAACATCTAGAGATGAAAACAACGTTTGCCATTGCTCACTGTTAATAGTCCCAGAATTTAATGAGCCTTTCTCTGGCTTAACATTGGTGTCAGTAGTGACAGCCACAGTGACACATAGGACAGAATGAGCTCTGTCATCGCGGAGGTTACAGAGGAGCAGAGAAAAGAAATCTGAACGTCCTACTTAGACTCTGCACAGCAAAGCAGCCGAGCCCCACCACCAACAGCACCAGGAAATCCCAGGCTCTCAGCTACCACTGGACACAATAAAAAATTCGTATAAATGTCATGGATCTGGCAAGGGTCTTTGGCAAGGCCTGAGAAGGGATATAAGTCTCTGTGCCAAAATGACATTTCAGCAGAATCTCCAAGCACAAAAAGGAGTTAAAAATGGGAAAAAATGGTCATGAGAATGTTCTGGCCAGAGGTAGGAGCACACACAGAAACCTGGAGCCCACGCATGCTGCAAGAAATGAAAGCCGTTTGGTATGGCTGGAGCTCAGAGAGTGAGAGGAGGCTGGATGGCTGTCTGGGTTAGGCTAACGCGCCTTGTGTGCCGAGGTTAGGACCTGGGACTTCACCCTAAGGGCAGTAATAACTGCTTCAGGTAGAGACAGGCCACGTTTCACCCTGTCTGAGATGACCCCTGCTGACCTCTTGCCTACCTCTGCATCACAGGCAAACCAGGCTGCCCGCTGGGAACAGCTTGGGCGTGCCTGGGAGCTATGGGGGGAGCAGCTCCCCTAGCCCATGTGAAATAAACAGTAGTCCGGAAATAAACTCTGCAGACGGAGACTGAGGAGCAAGAGGCGAATGCCAATCAAGGGAGCATAAGAGAAGATGAAAATGAATAAAAACACAGCACCACTGGAATGACGCACGGGTAAGGGTCTGGGACTCCAGACAGCAGGAAGACATTCCCCATCCCAGACACCAACTCGGGGAGGAATTGTGTTCACATTAGAGGGGAGCAGGGAGGTCTGCAGGGCTGCTGGCTCCCTCTGAGGAACGATTACTGAGCACTTCGCACGGAAGCACCTTCCAAAACCCTCAAGACCTCTCTACGGGGAGGGCTCTGCAATCGCCCTCCGGAAGCCGAGGCTGGGGGAGCATGGGGAAGGCTGCGCCCAGGTGGCCAAGCAGTGAGGGACAGGGTGTGTGCTCCCAAACCAGGAAGGCCCCTGCAGCACCATCGTCAGCGCAGGCTCAGGAAGGACTGTAATAAACCAAACCATGCAGTTCAGGAGTGGCCAGGGCTCCCCACACTTGCCCACAACCACGTGGGACGGAGGAAGGATGCAAAGCTCTGACTGCATCTCCCGGGCTGTGCGAGGGAGGAGGGGAACTGTGAGAAGGGCTCGGCCAGGTGCCCAGGATCCCTTCTCCCGGCGGTGGGCGTGAGTTTGGAAATGAACGGAGGACATGGCAAGGAACGCCTGGCAACATTAAGGGCGGCCAAAACTGGGATCTGTCTTCCTGGACCACAGCCCGAGAGAGCAGCCTGATGGGATCTTAGCATCGCCAGAATGCACTTAGCGAAGACCAGAAAAATGTATTTGGCCAGAACCTGCACTGACCTGACTCAGACGGGGCTTTAAATTAGATTTTAAGGCTGGAGTAGAGAAAATACAAGGGAGGAGGGGAAAAAAATCTAAACAATCTAAACTATCTAAATCTAAAAAATCCTAAATGAAAGGATATGGAAACAGATAATTTATGCAAGGAGGAAGAAGTATCT